AGAAAGTGCTCATATATGTGCACATGCACACACGTATCAGAAAATAAAAAGACTGCTTAGTTTGATTCATTATTAGAAAGTATGGGAAAAGGTTTCAAAATTAAGGCAACACATGTGCATTGATCACCATTTAAATGCAGCTAGTTGTGTATTCTGAAAGGCCTTGTGTACTTTTGTTTTTTAAGCAATATCCCCGACCACATGCTACCTCATGAACAGCTTTTGGAAATCATCTGAGTTGTGAAAGCAGCTTGCAATATCACATGAGTAGGAGGAGGAAAAGAAGAGAGGGAAGCTATTTGTATGTATTGCTTTGGACTTCAGCTCACAGTTTTCCTGACCACTGGCCATTCTGACAGGGCTTCTGAGATTCTGGAAGCCAAAGCATCTGTTGATTTCCCTGCTGCCCACCTGAATATTTGGTTTAGCTAACTTACAAACTTTGCAACAAATAAAAACTTGTTAGCAACAAGATAACAAACTTCAGTGCAAGTTTCTGAACTTCAGATGAAGCCTGGGAGACTACCTGCCCACAGGGAAAGAAAACACAAACAATGTTGCTAATGGTAGTGAAATGCCTTAATGTCAATGAGCTTATCTAAAATAAAACGTTTGAGGCTTAATGGGCAGCTTAAAAATTTACTGGAGTTTCTCAGAGATTCTACCAATGTTTCCTTGCTGTATACAATAGAGATACTTATGAAATGGCTTGGTTAACACTGGGATTTATGATGTGATCTTCCTAGGAAATCCTTCACAAGTAAAGGTGAGCTGGAGAAATTCCTTTTAGGCTTCTGCTCTGTGAGATAGTTGTGATTTGCAGCATGGAAAATGGTTATTGCTTATTCAGGGTAGCAACCATCTAATGGAATTTTATGCAATTTTTATGAAGTACTTACGTTAACAGATACTTAAACATCCTTGATTAGCATGCATCCTATTGACCAAAATATTGTTTTAAAACTGTTATAAATGAAGAGTACTTGGATTCTGCCTGTATATGTCGCCTTTTTTGCTTTGTTTTTGCAAAGAGTCAGCACTTACAACAATTTGATTTGACATGCTGCCGTTGAATCCTGTTTTATATGCAGAATACTATGAAGGCAGCTGTGAATGAATGCTGACTTTTTACTTCTAGTGCCATAAAATTATGCATTTTAGAAGCTTCTATATTTGCTTTGCTTTGCTTTCACTGAAGAATGGACACGTGGAGAAAATCAGTTTGCAGGTTGAAAATCTCTTGTACTTCCCAATGTCCCTTGAACTTTTTTAGAATAAAAACTAGAATCTATGTTTTGCTAGGAATTTAGCCCCAAACAATCTTCATGGTGAGTCATTCCATGAATGGGATGGGTATCTTTAGCCATAACACCTCAACTAGCCATTACATGGATGAATGGTCTCTCAATATGACCTTTTAATGTTTGAAACCCTCCTCCACAACCAGTGGGGACACAGAACGAGGAGGGGGAGGCACCTGATGCAATGAAGTTAGCAGGGGTCTCATCATTTGTGGGTCTGTGGGTATTTAAGAGAGAGTTCGGGGTGTTCTTATGAAGAGGCTGCCACCAGGAAGTCACTGTTGCCCATTCATAAAATGGCTGCCATGAATATTTTCTGGCTGCCAGTCAGAAAATATTCATTTCCCAACAGATAAAACTGCTGGCACTAACAAAAAAAAAAAAAAAAAAAAAAAAAGCAACTTCCCCAAGAAACTAATGGCAAGATGGAAATGGAATCTGAGCTTCAAAACTAGGAACTACATTAGATAGCTACCCTTAATTAATTTAATGTAGGGAATAAAATAAAGACCAGAAGAAGCTAGGAGCCTGGTGGTCCCAGTTTTACATGCTACGTTGAATGGGACAGAGAATGCATTGTGGGGTTGTTGTTTCCTGTGATTTTAAATACAAGGTTATTTTCTAGATGTAAATTAATTTCATGTTACAGTGCTTAAACACACACATACTAAAATGTTTACAAAGCAGCAAAAAATTTCCAGAACCCTGTTAACTAGTTCCTCCCTAGGTGGTGTTTTTTATTTTTTAAAAAAATTCTAGAAATTCTTTCTGTCATGCAGAGGGACACAGAAATACTTATATTAGCTCTATTCTTATTCCCTCAGTGCCTGAGTTTATTCATTAAATTATCCATATTCCAGATTTTCTTCCATATGGTCTCCAGATAGGCCCTCTCACTTGCTCACACAGTCTCTCTTTCTCTACACATATGGAAAGAAATAAAAGAATCGTCACAGCAGCAGCAAAGCAGCAACAACACTACCACAAACACAAAGTGTCCGACAACAAAACAAAACTTGCATTCAAATGAAATCATTGCTGGCCTCACCAGACCAAGCTAAGAAAAGAGCAGAGCAGTCCATAAACAGTGTAGCAGATGAGCAAGAGTCATGCACACAAGCCAACGGTCTGTCCTTCACAGTGAAGAGAGATCTACCAATGCGCCTGACTTCATGATATCCAAGCATGCGAGTGGTTCATATGGGAGGACATGATCCTTCAAACATCCAGGACTGATGGGGGTTTTTCTGAGGTCACTGTTCCATTCAGAGCCTGCTGGAGGTGACCGGGGAGGAGTGGAGCCGATCATGGCCCTAGACAGCACTTTCTCTCTGCTGTTGACCCCAGGTTGCCAAAATATTTATGGGACCATTTTAAGAGCAAAGACAAGTGGACAGGAGAGCAAATAAAATGTGCCCATCAGGTTACAAAATGTTTTATACTTTAAGCAGTTATTATATTGCTGGTGGCAAGTCTATTGAGGGCAGCATCAGTTGGTGAGGACCTCCAAACGACTCATCCTTTGTAAGGAAATGGGATTTGCAAATGAGGTGGCAGTGTAGAATGAGGCACATTTTTTGGTTAACATGTGGTGGGCTGTGTCTGTATTTCAGTGTGTTTTGTAATCTCCTTCCCCCACTTTTCAAATATGATTGCTCACCTCCCTCTCCGTGCTGCTGCATATAAGTAGGTTCATCCAATATGTGACCCAGAAAGTGCTATCTGGAAGATGGATCTTAGATAAAGAAAATTTATTAATGTGTAACAAGGAAGGGGAGGAGGCCATGATGTGGGTGTCAGTCAGATACCCGTCACATTGAGGAGTTAATATCTGTATCTGCATTTCATTCTAATTGATGGGTCTGTCGGCTGTTTGAAAAGCGTTAAATTGCCACCGCTTATGTGATGGAATGTCTATTGTCGAAGTATGAATGAAAACCAAGTCTCGTCCCTGCAGTCAGTTTAGAAATGATTTGTAGAGAATTGACTTTGAATGTTTAGATTAGAGGTCAGAGTTCTACTTCGAGGGCGCGCATGTTGGGATGGAAATATGCCTGGAACTGCCACCATTATACTTCCCCATTAAGGAAACCATTTTGCTAAGAATACCAACCACACGGTGATTTTGATTCATTTAAAAGGGGAGAGAAATGAAAGGTAGAGGGAAAATATATAAACTGAGTAGATCAAATCAGATAGGCAGGGTAAATTCCAAGTAAATTAATCAGTCATTGAAGAACTGTGCCTTTATATACAGGTAAAGTATAAAACATTATATCCACATGGAAGACTTTTATTGAAGTATTAAGGAGAATAGAATGTCACCCTGAAATTTCCACCATAGCCTAGCATTTCTTTGCTTTGGTAGGCAATGTAGTAACATTGTTTTCTTATTCTCTCTACAACTTAATTCTTTTATTAGAAGCATGAATTATATACACGGGAAAGAAAACAATTCTACACAATAGCCCATATTAATGAATAATTATTAGGAACTCAAACACACTTCTATGTCTTGGTGAAGATACAGGACACAATCCAGTCAGGCCAAGCTCTTTTTGGCTGCACCAATAACCTGCAACATTCCTGAGCTCAGATAACTCCAGGAGTTAGATTAGTAGGGCTGACCCAAGATATACTGCTGCCTGTGGAAAGGAACAAGTTGCCATCCCTTCCTGTTCTGAAGGAAATGCTGACGATTCTAGTAGTCAAACTGGTCTTCAGCATTAGTGATGAGACAGCATCCTCCTGAGTGGGCCAAACAGGACACAAGTCTCCTTCAACACATGTCCACTACCTCCTCGCATCTGATATTGGAGGTGACTGCTTCACTGCATTATGTTAGGGCCTATCTTATATTTGACATCGGTCTAGGGGAAATTCTGCCTGCAAAAATGCTGGCCAGTCATGCTGCATCTTCAGGGAGACCTGTCCTGCAAGCCTTATCAGCCATGGACAGATTATCTAAGTGTAACTAGTGTTGGCACTGGGTTACTTTCGGAAAGCTGACACTTTCAGCATGGGAAGACTATAGGCATACATAAGCAGACACATAAAATGTCAGGCCTTCTGGGTGCTCATCTGGAACTCCTAATCCTTCAGCTTCTGAATCCCTACAGAAAACTGCACAACTCAAAGTAGGTTCAGGACACAATCTGATGCATGCTTTTAAACAGAATGAAAAAAAAAAAATCCTACAGCTCCCAGCATGCCTCAGCTAGCCATGCATAGGATCATATCATTAGTTATTCTTTGCTTGGCTTCAGATCACCTCACTGAGATGGGGTTATCCTCATTCCAGTTGCCATATAAATGGCCTCTTCTCATTGGCTGAGTGAACAGCAAAGCACCTAACATTGGAGGTCAAATCGGGTATTTGTGCCCTTGCCTGGTCATTTTCATGTCTTGGCTTTGCAAACATTTTCCTGGTTTAAATAGTCCAGATTAAATGAGCTAGACTAAATGAACAGTCTAGAAAGCCTCCCTGACATGGTGGTCTCAGATGTTCTGGACTACAGCTCCCATAATTTCTGACCAAGGGCCATGCCGGTGTGGGCCGATGGAACTTGTAGACCAAAATATCTGCCAGTCACCATGCTGGGGAAGGCCACTCTAAATGATTGCTTACATTCATTATCCATTCATCTAATAAATACTTGCCTGCATTGCTCTCACTCTCTTTAACCAACAGGTAAAAGGATGGCATACCGCAAAGTCAGTGGAGCCCAGAGGGCACAATACCTCGATCATGATGACCTCCAAGCCACTTCCCTGGAGCTAGAATGGGACATGGAGAAAGAGCTGGAGGAGCCTGGCTTTGACCATTTCCAGCTGGATGGGGCAGTCCACCAAGCAATGGGAAGCACTCAGAGAACCGACTTGGACCTGGAACCTGTTCAGCCATCAGCATCTCCCAAAGGAAGGTTCCAAAGGCTTCAGGAAGATCCAGATTACATCTCACATTATACAAGGCCTCCACCAAAGAGCAACCGCTGCAGCTTTTGCTGGATATTTAAGCTATTTTGCACAGCTATGTGTTTATTTATTATTGGGATTCTGATAGGCCACTATGGTCATGCACAATGCCCTCCTTCCCCTACCCCTTCAGAGCCAAGTGATCCTCACTTCAGCCAGGAAATTTTGAAAGAACTCAAAGCAGAAGATCTTGCACAAATTTTCAGGTATGTACTTTTTTTTTACAATTATCTGGTTGATTCTGGGGAAAAGTTAGCCTTGTACTTTATTTAATCTACACTTTGCCTAAAAAAAGGCATGGCCAAGGGATTCAATGCAGTGCCTCACTCTCTGAGCCATAGCTCCCTTTTCTTCATCAATCTTTCATCCCACCTTTTGGAAAGTTGCATCGGCATTCTCAACACAGGAAAACCAGTAGCGATCACCATTACAGGATGGCATGAAAGGCAACTGTGGAAGCAGAAAGTCCACCAGCAACACACATAGGAACTTTTTGTGCCTTGTATGTGCACAATCATTTATAAGACAGTGGCAATATAGAGGTGTGTGTGGATGTGCATGGAAAAACGAGGAGAGACACGGGCATGTGCTTAAGTCTTCTCAGTACTTACTCTCAAGACTTAACTGCTGATTATCAACAACAGTGCCTCTTTTATACAGTTTTATTGTGTGCTTGACTTTGAGTTTGTAATGTTATGACCAAGTGGTAAAGCTTCTAGAAGACTGAATAACTCAAGGTGGCAGAATCACCCTATTCAGGATGGAGAGAAAATCCAGTGTGTTCTTATTTTAGGGTAGATTTGCTAAATATTTTACTTTGAAACTGCTCTGTGAACCAAAACTGTTAACCTTTGACATTTTTGCAGTCATTTTCAAAGTCATTTTCAATCAATTTTTCAATCAGTTTTGAGACTGCTATGTGGACCAATACTCAGTTAACCTTTGGAATGTTTGCAGTCATTTTTTGCAATCATTTTTCAATCAAAACATGTGGATAAATGCCTATATTAAGGAAAATAAGTATCATATTATGAAAATTGTTTGGAAAATGTGTGTATTATGCAAAAGTACATGCATAATACATATATTAGGACATTTGCACACAAAATGCTCATAAATCTCAACGAAAACTTTAAAAATATTAAAAGTTCAGGGTAAACTGAAATTCAGAATGGAAAAATCTCAAAGTTTCAGTTGATTGGAAAAATGAGACGTGGAGAGGCAGCAAAACTGGCTGCACTGTTCTCTTAACGGCAGGGAATGAAGATGTATGTCTTGAACATTTCCCTATGCTGAAAAAACAGCAATAAAACCCGTATTCCAGCTAACCTGAAGTCCAGGAAAAGCCTTGCCACTTGATCCCACTGTCTTCTGCCTGACATTTAATGTTATATTATCAAGTGTGTGCAGTGATACCTTGCTGGCCTATATGATGCATTAGCCGTTGTTAGTATTTCCACACTTTTTGATACAGTGCAACTACAGTGTGTGGGAGGTTTCATTTCCAGGACGGATATAGAAATACAACATTTCTGGTTTCCAAAGAAAAGAAAGGAGAATGATCAGCATCTGTTATATAGGACCATGGAAACATTTCTCCACAAAATCACAGTGGTGAAATGCCTGCCTTTCTAAACTTGATCATTCAGGTGAAAAATGTTTCTTACTCTTACCTGAAGTGCTAATCCTATTTATCTATTCAAAAAGGCATTATCTGTTCACCTGGACAAATACTCTTCAGCACTGCCCAGGTGTTATGCCTGAATGAGGTAGACCAGGCTGAATACAAGGAACGGGGCAAAGTACTCCAGCTTTAACACCTTGTCTTCATATGCTCCAGCCCATTTCTTCAGTTCCCAGTTTCCTGATGTTCAACAGGGAGATTTCTAAGGCTTCTACTTGTCTTCAGTTGAATGTGTAGACCTTTGCATGGCTAGGAATCCTAAGAAATCAAGGTGCCCAGCCATATGGAGTCTTCCATTCCCATGCAAGCAAATGAGAGTAGAAACTCCTTGTAGACTTTTCTGTTCAACACAGGAAGGTTGAGAATATAGGAAGCTGCCTTATACTGGGTTGAACCTGGGTCCTTCTACTATTAATGTTTGAATTTGCCCAATGTTGCCAACACTGCCTAGTAGCATCTCTCCAAGGTTCCAGACAGAAGCTGTTCTGCGTGAAGAGCCTGGGAATTGAACCTGGGTCCTTCCACATGAAATGCATGAGCTCTTCCACTACTCATGACCCATTATGAACTGAGGAGGTGTGGCTGGCTTGCCCCTTTGTACTCTAATCTTTTACACATAGTTTTGAAATAGGACTTGTGCTGATTTCCCATCTAAGGGTCTCTTTTGGACTAGAATTCTTAGCTCCAAACTGCTATTCTACATGGCGATCCAGCTGACATCCTGCTACTTCTTTCTGAATAGTCTACACAGTGAAGGCTAGAATAAAAGCAATAGAAGCCATGGACCAACTGAACATGCCAAAGGCGCAACCCCACTGCCAAGGTGATTGTTTGATCTCTACTGATAGCATTGCTACAGTTCTTTTTAGTTTGTTTAGAAAGCTACTGCAATAAAAGCTATTCAAAGATAGTTTTTTTCTGGTGTTTAAAGAGAATATTTAAACCTTCTAAGAGTGCTTCTTTGAAACATGCTGCAAATCCTGCCCCTTTCAAAACTTCTTTACCTGTTTCCATCTAAAATACTTTCCCTACAATTCAAATTCACAGGCAACATGTTCATCAAGGGGAGCACCTTGGTACTCAATCTTACCCAACCATGTTTGTCCTGAAATGTAGTCTCTGCAGAAATGTTTGGCGCTGTTCTTGTAATGATTGATGCATGTTAAAATTGTTAATTAGAGTGAAAACATAGGTACAAATGATGACTTTTCTACATCTATGGTTCCCCCAAAGGTGAAATTATGAGAAAGGAACACCAGAGAGAGAGGTGGGGATAATAGAGCAATTCAGAGTTGGAGACAGTGAGACTAAAAGCCACGCAATTGCCTGAAAAGGATTTCAAACCCAGTAGAACGGAAGAGTCTTTGGTCTCCTTAAGCACCATGGTTTTCTTTGCAGTTTTACAGATGCCACAAAGCAAAAAAAATCAGAAAAAGAAAAAATGACTGAAGTATGGCCCAATGTTCCAGTTGTGTAGTACTAACCTACTTAAATCACCTGTCACTGCAGTGCCCTCACCCAAATTGGAGGAAATTATTATTATTAATAATAATTATTATTATATTTCTATACCACCCATAGCCAAAGCTCTCTGGGTGGTTCACAACACTGAAGTCCCCCATCCAGATTCCAACCAGGCCTGACCCTGCTTAGCTTCCAAGATGAGGCATGATCAGGCCCTTCAGGCTACATGGAATGGTTATGTTAAGTCAGCTATTGCAGCAAGATGTTACAGTATGAACTGCTTCTGTTAAGAGTTCCAAGGTATCTCATCCCACTGTCTGTCCAGTCTCACCTTTCTTTCCATGAGACACCCAAAATTCCATGGTTCCCTGAGTCTACCCAGTTCTCATTGGGGTTGGGAAAAGGGAAGTTGTTTTTCCCTTAATAAGTATTAATTGCCAGGAGGAGAGGGGGAAGGGGGAGGGAGAGGGCAGTGCATAATCAAAAAGAAGGGAACAACAACACACATTTGTATATAATGTGCATGTATTCATGCATAGGTGCATATATAAACATAGAAAGATATATTAGAATTTCAGCAGACATAAGATACGCCTCACCATACTATGGAATGACACTGACAGGTGACTCATATGCCCTCATGTTCAGCCTGCTGCCCAGGTGCTGACTAATGCTTTTTAGGGTTCTTTATATTTAAACACAACTTGGACAGAAAGCACTCCAAACTGAGGACCAACAACACATGGTATCCTATGAACCGAGTGCTGTGTGAGAAGTGCGATCTCAGTTTGGTGATGGTGCTGAAATCTTGGTGCTCAAGAATCCCAAATTCCTCCAGGGGAGAGATGATAGCCAATGAAGCAGTTCAAACTTGACATGTGGACACAATAGTACAACTAGAGCGGATCTAATTGAACATTTCAGCCTATTTCTCATAAACATCTGTTAGGAAATTAAACATAGAACATAGAAACAGAGTGAGTCAGAAGGGGCCACCCAGGCCATCTAGTCTGACCCCCCAGCTCTACTCATGACATGCCTACCATGTGCATGTCCAGCCTACCCATAAACACCCTCACTGATGGGGCCTCAACCATCTCCCATGGAAGCCCATTCCATGCCCTAGGGGTCCTAACCATCAGAAAGTACTTCCTGGTATCCACCTTGAATCTTGGCTCCCTGAGCTTTGCTCCATTGGAACACATCCCACTCTCCACTGCAGGGAAAAAAGGGTCACAACCCACCTTTGCATGATACCCCCTCACCCACCTGTATGTCACTAGCAGGCCCCCTCTGAATCTTCTCTTCTCAAGGCTGAAAAGACCCAGTTCCCTCAGTCTCTCCTTGTATGGCTTACCCTGAAAACCAGCCGCAATCCTTGTGGCCTTTCACTGGTTTTGGTCTATCTCATTCAGAAATTTGGCTCCATGTCCCTAGGGCTTGGCATCATCAGCCCGATCATGCATACTTGCAGCATTCATAAGTCACTGAGGGATGATTCTTATGTAGCAAAAATGTCAACATACATGGATAGGTGAAAGGCATCAGCAGGGCTGAGTTAGTAGATGTATGTTCTCTTTCTTTCTTTCATTTATTTTTAGAAAGTAAAAAAGGGCAATAAGGACTGAGCATGATCGGAGGCTGCAAAATGCTGACTGCCATGTGTGTGCGGGGAGCATGGGAAACTGGGTGTTGGGGGGAGAGAGAACTGTATCGCCTAGAATCCTGGACAAGAAACCCTACCCCACAATATTTTCTTAAAGGGCCCACATGCCGTTTGTGACCTTCAGTGATCTTTCCCTGTAGCAGCATGTTCAGTTTACTGTTCATTTTCCTTGTTCAATATTTCTGGCATCAGAGAATTGACAAAAAGCCTAAATATGTGTGTGGGTGAACATGTTTTATGTTTTGGCTTAGCATAGGGAGTTAATGCTTGAGGCCATAAAAATCTTCTTGGATTCTGTAGGCATGAGGAAATTAGCAAATCAGCAGCATTTTGCATATTTTGCCTCCTGTAATGAACCATGCTGGTTGAAATTCAGGTAGTATTTGTTGTTG